GTTGGCTGTTCTAGCTGTTTGACTCCTCACCCAACTTTCTCTTCGACTGAAATTAGCTCTCCTAAGCTTTTTTTTTTCTTTTTTCTTTTTTTAACCCAAGGATGATCCCTGGTGGGGGTAGAGTGGCTGCCAGACCCATTGAGGAACATACTAAGATACGAAGAGCCTTTGGCCATCTGCTCTGCTAAGGGGCCTGAACCAATTGAATGTCCTCTCTCAGGCTCTGAGCTGATGCACACAAGGAATTGCCTGAAGCACATAAGGAATGTTCCAGGTGGTAGAACAGCTGCCTAGAGTAGCTGGGTTTACATAATGGGAACACAGCGTTGAGAGCCACAGTTCCCTGCTGGCTTCCTTGACCCATCTGGATCTTAACCCCTTCCCCTGTGGACTGCACCCTGTTTGGCTTATGGGTCTCCCACCCCTTTATTATTCCATCTGCATCTTATAACCTTGCCCCTTTGCTTGAGCTACTGAAGCTCGGTAACAGAAGGACCCATGGGCCCTTGATTCTGAGTCAAGCTGTTTCCCGTACTCCACCATACCTCTCAGGGCCCTGCTTGCTGGTTTGGAAAAGTTTGCATGATATAATGGCTTTTACTACTTCTTCTATACTCTACCAGTTGTAAGTAGTGACATAGCTTATTTTGAATTCTCCATCCATTCTGGCTGAGGCTGGCATCCTGGATCCCAGCTCTGAAGCAACTGGCCCTTGACCCTGTTGCTGCTTAGGTCCTGCCAGTCTTTGGCCCACAGGTGAGGTCTATCTATCTCCCCAGCCAAATGTCTCCAGGGACAAGAGAGGGGATGTCCCTTGTGGTCTTAAAAGGCACTAATTATGTACTCCTACTTAAGATGTTCCTCTCCAAGTAAAATGATTTCCTGGTGGTCAAGTGCTTTCATCCGCATATTCACAACACAATGCCAGAAGCCTCAGGAAACAAGAAGAGGTCATCAAGCTATCATCATGGTTATGCATGTGTAATGTGATGTATGTGTGTGTCAAAAACACTCACGAAGATGAGCACTTGCAACGAACACCCAATTTGCTTAAAATATTTTTAAATTCCAACTATTTCTCCCAGCTCCTTAGCAATTCTTTTATTAATTTCTTGGTGTTCTCCTAGGGTACACTTGCAAGTAGCTATTTCTAAATTTCTCTAACCCTGACAAACTTCCTATTAAAAACCACTTATTCTCTGGATCTGGGTCTCCTTTTCTTTGGAATGGAGGCTATGTAAGGCATACATCTCCTACATATCTGTATATTCACACTCATTTTTTTTTCACTACCAGATCTTAAAAACAGGAAAGACACTCCTGACCTGGGTATGGAGGCCCACATCTCCAACCTCAGCACTCATTTAGGAAGCTGAGGCAGAAGATTAATTAGTTCCTAAGCAGACCAGATTAGCTAGCAAGAGACACTATCTGGAGTTATCTAAAACTCTCTTGGCTTGAAGACAACTGGCTGTGTCCTATCCAGGAATATCTGCATTGGAGACTTGCTGTTACCTGGGTCCCATCCCACAGCTAAGCTCCTGTTGACTTCCAAGTCTGCAAATGCAGGAAAGCTCCTGTCTGACTAGGAGATGGGCGAGAGATGGCCAGTTGACCATCTAATGGGGTAAGGGTGAGACGGTAGCACTAGGCTTTATTAAAGTTGGGAATACTAAACAGTGAAGCCAACACAGGTGAGAGGCATAGCTCCCAGAGAAATCTGGTCTCAATAAGGGCAGGAACTCCAGCCAGGTGCTTCTGGTTACCTCATTCTGCCTACAAGGCCCAGGCATGACAAGCTGGGATTAATTCCACCCTTTTTGGCTCGAGGCAGAGAAGCCACCTCATTTACTAAGGCCTGTCTGTTGTCAGTACTTTGTCATTGGTCTGTCCACCTGGCTCCTTGAATTTCCTGGTTCCTGGATATTGCTGTGAGGCACAGATAGCCTACCTTGTTCTGCCTTCTATTATCCCTCTGCTCTCGATCTCTGATTCTCAAAGCCAAATTTTAGATCACATTGGGATAGACCAATTTCTTAAGGCTCTAGGATCATGGTTCTCCAAGGTACCATGCAAGAGTTCTCAAACAGGAGAAAGGAGGTGAGATCTTCAGGGAAACGAGGTAAAAAATGCCACCCAGAGCTGGCATAAGAACCAGAAGATTCACACTTAGCCTCTATGGGCCTCCAGAGAAAGGAGACAAAATCTATCATCTCATCTGGACACCTTAACCCCTACAGGATGGAAGAGAGACAGGCATGCTGACAGCCATGCCAGGTGAGGCCAAAGAGTTGATTTCTTTCCTTAAAGGTGAGGGTTATTGAAGCAAAGGAACCAAAACTAGCAGCAAGCTTTCATTTAGGAGCTTGAGTTAAGATGAAGCTAAGAGTATCTCTTTAAATTAACCAGCTCCTCAGAGCCTATGAGTGTCTAGATTGGCTTAACAAATGAAGGACTTTGCGTTAAGAAGCCAATGGTGCTATTTTGGGGCATTCTGCGATGTACCCAGGGAATGCCTTCCTAACGTTTGAAAGCCCTTTTGGCAGCATCTTCCTAACCTCCTCCTCCACAGTCTACCATGCTATTTGCATTCCCCTTTGTCAGCATTTCCCCACCTCCCAACCATGGCCTCAGCCCACCACATTTCCAAGCCATGTGACAGACAACCAGGCAGATGTGGATCTGGGGAAACCCTTCTCATGTCCATCTCTAAGTCACTTCTTGTCCCATTGAGGAATGACTTACCAGCAGTCATGCTACAAGGAATGACAAATTGACACAACTGTATGTATTTTTAAGAAAAGGCCTATAGAACAGAAAATACCCAATCTAGATTCTGGAACTTTCTATGACACACCTCCAAACCAACATATTCTACCTGCAGAGAACAGGAAAGGACTGGAGCAGCCACAGGAACAGTAAGAACTGGGAATAGCCCCGTTGTCTGGAAATACATCCACATGTTTCCTTTAAACCCTGGAATCTGAAGTGGGAATCTCCATCTTCTCTCTCAGATGCAAAAATGGCATGCTTGTGGCAATCTTTTGATCTGAATGTTTTAAACTGCACATTCTATTGATTTTCAAAAATGGAAACAACCCCACACTTAACCTGTAAACCAGTCGAGTATATTCTTCATATGTTCTAAGAGCTATTCTTTTCTGGGATTTTTTTTTCTTTTTTCTTTTTTTTTTTTTTACCCAGCACTTTGCCTTTATGCTTTTCATTAAACTATTTTAATAGAATAAAAGTTTCCAGCCTGTGGCTTCATTGAGCTTTATTTACCTCCCTATTTGGGAAAATGTATCCCAGCTCATTCTCCACAGGAAGGAAATGGCACCAAGAACTGCCTAAAGTTCACCATGAACTACAATCCCCCACTCTGTGTGTAAAGAACACATACAGTGTTATTTTAGAAATGTGTTTAGAATGTGTTTTTGTAGTACTTGGCTGTGGGGAACACACAGGGGATGGGAGAAACTGGCTATAGAGAAACTGCGCTTTGGGGGACCCCGGGGGACTCTGGTTTCAAAATGGAATTTATCCTCAAATCCAAGATTATAGATTTTCTTTCAAACTGCATTCCCCACATGGTTTAGAGAATGCTTGAAAAAAGAAATTGCTCTTCATGTTTTGATTGACATTAAAACCCTGTGAAAAGTTTGGAACTTGATGTCTCCCGGACCTTTCCTCACTCTTACCCAGAGCTGTCCCAGGGAAAGAGACTCACAGGGCACTCACTCTGTTCTCATGCATCACTACTCAAGAAATTGCCCCAATACTTAGAAACACAAGGACTGCTTGGTGAGTCTCAAGCCCAAGCCATCATAGTCTACCGCATAGCCTAAAATGGAAGCAGTCACCTGGAGCTTCTAGTCCTTAATATGAATATTATCTTTTAAATGATCAGACTTATTCTTTATTTTGCAGGGCCCCTTGTCTTCAGGGAGTTCTAGCCACGGGTGTCTGGTTTTGACTAACACTAAGGGGCTGCACTGTTTCCGTTTACAACTCCATCTACACAGCCTGATTACCAGAAGGGATCTGTGAATACCAAGCACTTTGTTCTCCTCTACTTTTTTGACCATGTATTGCCATGGCACCGAAACTCCCCCGCCCTTTACAACCAGCTCTTTCTAAAAGGAATTACCGACTGATACCAACTTGTGCTACTATTTGAGATGCCCAAATACGTCTGTCTGGAAATAATAACCCCTCTTCTTTTTTCTGGAACGTTCTCCCCACTTATATCTTTCTTGACCCTTGGGGCATACTTTACAACAGAAATGAAGATTTCTCAAGAAATATTCTGGTAGGAAGTTGACCATGGTTTGTACAAACACACCCACCCATGCATGCATTCTCTTGCCTCTCAGTTTTTATAGAAAACAGATTCGGTAGGCATCTGCCTGAGCAGATGAGCGACACTAGCCCCATCGGCTGTGGGCACTAGTGGGAGAACTCTCATCTTATTTTTTTACATCTCTGAAAGCCCACTTCTAAAATCCTGGTAACAGAGTAACAGAAATGTATTTAGCTAAGAACAACAACAACAAAAATCATTTTTTTGTCTTAACAATCTAAAAAAAAATTGTTGCTGTTATTTTTTTAATCAAAACCTGAGACATGTTTAAATTTCTACTAGTAGAAAATGGAGAAGAAACTGCCCGAGGGACCGACCACCAGAACCCACTCTCTGGCACTGGCCTGAGGATACCAGGTATGCAATCCATGTCCCTCTTGAAAACATAATTGTATCCTAGGCAAAGTCACTCATGCTCCCTGAACATGTCACTATGAGATCTTTCCTCTTGTCCCATTTCTAGAAACACGTTGACCTTCTGGGAACATCCCCAGGCTGGCTTTGGGAGTTTACGTGGTGTGCTGTCTGCCTCGAAAGATTTTGCATATCCATCAACGTTAGCCTGGAATGTTGCCTGAAACCTGCAGAGCGGCTCCGGCTTCCCTGAAGGCGGAAAAAGAAAGACCCTGTGTCCTACCTCTCAAGCAGCGGCTTCTTCCCGAGCAGGACGTAGCGCTGTAGGAAAGGAAGCCGAGGTCCCTTTAAGCAACACAGCCAGAGAGCAAGCAGGCAGGCAGGCCTCCTAATGCACACTGCTCTATTCAATAAAACTGCAGACCGCCCTTCCTTGGCCCCTCCCAGAAGTCCATGCTAAGTGAACGCATATCCCTTATGTTTACAGTCAGCAGGCGGTGGTATGCATTGTCCTGTAGTTTTTCTAATAGGCAGCCAATGACGACACCCGGGCCAAGGTGATGCTGTCTGCCCGTGCAGATGCCTGTCATTCCCTAGGCATGCTCAGGACATCACTCATCAGAAAAACCAAGTCCTAAAAAGCTTGAAACTGTGAGCAGGCTGCCAAAACCAGCCGGCTCCATGCCCTTTTTTGGTTATCCTAAGCAGGGCCTCCTGGAAGCGGATCCATTGTCAGGAACAATCATAAGAAACGTTAATCTTGGAGAAAGAGGCTGTCTTGCAGAACACAAATAGAACTTTTAAAAGAAAGTACAGTTCATGAAACAAGAAGTGGACAGTTAGTTGTACTTACGTGGGGGGAGGTTGGAGGAGGGAGTGGGGGGAGACGTTTTAGTTGAGGAAGCCTTAATAGCGTATTTCTTTTCAAAGTAGTTGCATTACAAAATGAATTTAAATCATTCAGCAAGTTAAAAACCTGAAGCGGATAAGACTCAGGTCTGCTGTCCAGGCTAAGTGCTGGCCAAGAACATGTCTGTGTTATGAAAACAACTGACAAAAAATATAAATACAATGTATCAGTCTTCTTAGTAGATAATGCTGGCCAGAATAAAGGCAGGGTGAGCAGCTTGGCCAGATGGGGCCCTATGGTTTACATAGCTCTATTGGTTTCCCCCATCAACACCCATTTTCCTTTGGGTCCTCAGTCTTGGCAATGGGGAATTGTACTAGAAATGAGTGTGGATGGGGAGACCAACACGTGCCTTGGGACAGGCACAGCCAGCCACATGTGCACTCACAGGTGATACAGATGCTCTAGTTCTAGGAAGCCTGTGCTAGGGGAGAGTCAGCATTTGTAGCTGCTGAGCTACAATGCAGGTCACTGGCCCACACATGCATCCAATTGTGGTCTTGTATTTTTTGGAATTCATTCAGTCAGTACTTAGTTTTTAAGAAATTGGAATGCTTACTGTTTGTCAGGCCTGGGGCTAAGCACAAAATCCATGTTTCCTTATTGGTATGTATTTAGACACTGTCTCATCATTAACCAAAGAAGCTTTAAATATTTTCCCTGGCTAATTACAGATCCAGAAGCTTAATCAACACACACAGTCTTACTGCAAAGCCCTTCTCTACTCATGAAGATCTGACCAAGAAGTTGTCTCTACTGAGGAAGCAGCCCTTGCCCTTTGTGCTTCATTGACGTTGGAAGCAGCTGGTCCACAGCGGTGAGTTTCTTCTTCAACCCTTGGTTATTAACAAGTCGTCCAGAAGTATCTACATGGACTCTCTGTGCTACTTAGAAAAGTGACATAGCCCCTCTGCTCTACTTGCCTTCTTCTACTCTACAGCCTCCAGAAGCCACAGCAAAAGACTACTGGACCCAGGGAGATGTGGGCTTCAAGCATTCCCAATCAGAACTCAGAATGTACTTTCCCAGACAAGCAAAATAACTAACTGGTCGGTGGGAATCATGTTGTCAATATTGCATTTCAAGTTCACTGGAGCTCAACCAGGCACCAGTGAACATAATCATTTACAAAACTCTTCTTTGGGGGAAATCTTTTCTGATCCCAGATAAATAATTTGAAAATAAACTTGTTTTGGAACATAGCCAGTTTTGCAGCTAGGGGAATTCTGTATCAGGCTGTGTAGCTTGAAAAGACAGAATAATACGTCTTAGTCTGGTAAAGGTCAAACTTGGAGACAACAGCAGACAGACATCAGATTCTTCAAACATCTCAGTTACATCGATATGTCCTCTGCCTAGAGAATTTCCTGGGTGCATGATGTTAGGGCTGGATCATAGAGGGCTTCGTGAAAGAGCTATTTTCCATTGCTGGTCCAAGCAGACAACATCCTAAACAACAAACTCCCCATTTATGCCAGGGATGCACCTCGGGTGATCAGCATCAGGGAAAAATTTTGTAGTTTATGATTTTTTTTTAAGTGCCAACTTTCCAGAGAAAAGGGAAGTTGTGCTACAAAAGAGGAAAACATTATCAACAGGAAACATGGAAGGGATGCACATTTTACATGGTTTGTAGAAGATAAGTGGCTGAATATTTTGGGTTTTGCTTTTTGGGAGAAAGAAGTATGCCTCCCTAGATAAGTCCTCAATATTTCATATATTGAGTAGAGCACTCGGAGAGCTACGATCTTCATTCTATGTATCTGCCGTAGAGCTGTGGAAGAACTATAGGTTGGAAGAATAATTCAACACAAGTCATGTAAAAATACATAATAGAAAAAGTCTTTCTTTGTCTTTAAAACAAAGCAGAAATGTTTAAAAGAAATGAAAAAAAAAAAAAAAACACAACCAAAAACACCACATGCTTGCATATTGCCCAATCTCTGCCATGGGAATCTCACTTTCATAATATTTACTTTTTCCAAAGGTCATTTGTAAACAGCACTAAAAATACTTTAAAAATATATAAATATAAGATTTATGTAGGAAATTCCTGTGGGATATATTTCCACCTGGATCATCCCAGATAAAGACCAGCTTGTCTATCACAGGGCTTGGTCAACCACAATGGATGAAAAGAGACCTTTAAAAACATTTCCATGATTCCTTATGTTTTTTTCCCTTTGGTTCCTAGAACTTGCTGTCATATTGGTCAGTAGCTAGCAACTATATTTTGTTTGTGGCTTGACTTTGAAAAGTAAAAACAGGGCATGTTTTTTATTTGAAACAGGAATCCACTTCCTTTATTTCATGAAAACTAAACATCATTCCAACTTTCGAGAAATCTACTTTATTGAACAGACAAGAGTATTTATTATATTTGGTATTAAAATTAGATCACAAAGTATACACACATACATACCCACAAAATGACAGAGCGGCTGAGAGTTTAAACTAACTGCACTTAAGAAATTAAAGTTTAAAAATCAGCAAATTTTACCTAATAGTATAAAAAAAGAATCAGAGCAGAGATGGTCCAAAATCTGAAAATCTATTGCTATAATATACACTTGTAGTTTAAATGTTTTTAAAAAAAGAAAAGATCATCTCATAAGATGAAAGGTAGTATTTGGTAAAATGAATAATTATTTGTAGTGAAATTCTTAGAAAACTAAGAAGAAGATCTTTCTAAACACATTGAGAGCCTTAGCGGGAATCTATAAAGCACATTGTGTTTCCTAAGGGCATGTTAAAAGTGACTCCATTACAACTACTAAAAAGACAAGACTCACTACTGCCCCTTCCATGAAAGAGAAGGATGAGCCACGGGGTAGGAAAGGAAATGTCTCTATTTACTACGATAACATTATTTGTGTAGAAAATGGAAGAGGATTGTTTTAGTTTGTGTTCTCTTGCCTTGATGAAACAGAAACAAGACCAGCTTGGAGTGGAGAAGGTTCATTTAGTTTAAAGTTTACAGGCCACTGTACAAGGAAACCAGGGCAGGGCAAGACAGGAACCTGGAGACCATGGAGGAATGCTGCTTACCTGCTTGCTCAGCTACCCTGCTTATACAGCCCTGGTCCACCTGCCTAGGGATGGCACCGCCCAGAGTGGGCTGACCCCACCTCCATCAATCAGCAACCAAGAAAATATTCACTACAAGCCTTCAGGTCAATCTGATGGAGGCCATTCTTCTATTGAGGTTCCCTCTTCTTCCCAGGGTTGTCAAATTGACAACCAAGATTAGCCACCACAAGAGCTTCAGACTTACTGCAGTTGATAAAAAGAACTCGGCAAAATTCAGTGCACAAGGATCTAGAGCACCTGTAACCAGCCATCTCTAATTTTTAAATTGGTAAAATATGTGGTTTGTAATTAAAACAAAAGTATACGTTATCCTAAATTAATGTAGCTTAATTAATTAATGTAGTTAAAAAGTCCCCAAACCTAATTTAAGACTACCAAAAACCCAAATAAAGCTGAGCACTTCAGTTCCAGCACTCAGGAGGCAGAGGCAGGAGATCTTTGTGAGTTCAAGGTCAGCCTGGTCTACATAGTGAGTTCCAGGCCAGCCAGGGCCTTGACTCAAAAACAAAACAGAAACCTGTAAGCAAACAAAACAAGGAATGGTAACGCACACCAGTTTTACAAATGAGACTTCAACGCTGTAATGACAGAAAAGTAGTCTACATTAACTTTTGCCAGTTAAATTCCCAGATGCTATAGTTTGTAAAAAACACAACAAAATAGCAAATCTGAAAAGCAGAGATCTCAAAATTGGTAATGTGATTGTCACATAGTAGTTCGGATTAAAGAAAGTGCTACCAGCATAATAGACAAACTAACATACAAAAGTAGAAAATCTGCAAGCAAACCCAAGGACATACACAAAAATAGTAGTAGAAGTATTGAAATCAGATGAAAAATGACTTCTCTACAGATGGTAAAGTCACAATTATGGAGAAACAGTAAATTTGGATTCAAAAGTCTTACATCTCACTGCAATAAACTGGGTGAACAACAAAACTGAAAACGTTGGTGAAAATGATAGGTGAATATTTTAAATAGGATATGAAACAATAAACAACACACAATGAAAATATTGACATGCTAGAGGACACTATTAGACGAGGCAGGCAGACTGAATGAACAAATCTTATTTTTTTCTGTTCCTTCTCTCAACTTGACCAAATGATAGCGAAGAACTGAAAACTAAAGATCAGAAATAAATCCTACAAGGCAATGGGCCCTGGAAAGGAACCAGCAGAGGTCTAGATTCCAGCCAAATTTTGGAATACGGAAAATAGACAGACCAGTTGGTAATTGACTTAACAGCCGAGAAACTGAAATCTGGCCCCGTGGATGGGGAGGCTAACGAAAAGATGCCAATTCCAGCTTCAGATCCAAGGTTTTGAAGTCCTGGGAATTTCTCAAAGTGTGGAGTGGAGCAGAAAAGATGTTCTGTTCAAAATGTCAGGGTAAAATCCAAAGCCCTCCTCTCCCCAGGCAC